AGAACATAGTGTTACATGTCTCAACTTTTATTACATAAGAAAGTAAATCTGACTGTTTGACTGTAAAAAGGCTGTTTTAATGTTTTTCTATGCAAAAATGTGGTGATCTCTTCTGCACAAGAAGAAAAAGCACATAAACCTATATATGAATAGGTCATACATTTGAAAAGACATTACTGCCTGTAATGAATCGGGAAACATTTGAGCATATCAAACTCAGTAATACAAGTATATATCACTTTGTTAGATTAAGCTTTTACATCAACCCAAGATCTTTGAATTCCAAAACCTTTCAATCCTCCAAGTTTTTTAGCATTTGAACAATAAAAAGGTACATTACTAATTTGTTAAATAAATAACATAACTACCCCACTGCCTAAACTGCTTTGTCTATCTTTTAAGAGCATAATGAAAATTCTAAAGATATGTCTTTCTTGTAGCAACAAAAAAAATGTAATAATAGAACATTTTTAATATATTTATTATTATTACACATAAGTAGAATTGAACCACAAGTTGGACGGATGACTAATCTCAAATAGAAAGAGGAGATTAACAGATGGCTTTACTAAAGTATATGGAGGCCTATCTTAATGTCTTTTAATCAGAGCACTATGAGATGCTCAACTCATCTAGCAGCTAACGGCCTGCACAATGAGACAAGCGTAATCACATCAGGCTTAAAGTGTAGCCATGCTGTCAATAAACAGCACCCACAGAATTTCCATTCTGCTCTGCAGGGGACTTAAAGCAATTCACCATTCAGACCAACTGGCAGCAAGCTATTTCTAAAAGAAGACTGCAACCTATCCATGACAACATGGAAGTGATCTGTGGGATGAACACGGATCCCTTTCTGCATCCACAGAGTTGGGTAGAGCTGTGGGCTTCACAGTGGGTGGCCCCCATGGACCTGGGCTAATTGTTTCACATCACTGCCGAGCCAGGCTGAGATCAGACCACCGGCATCTGATTCAGGCTGTTCAACAGCCAAACAGGGTATGCCAGGAAACACAGCACACACCCCACCCCACATTCACACACATGCACACACTATCCACTCCATCATACATGACCACAAATAAGTGCAAGGTATTCCTTTTCTGTGGGATTTTTTTTTAGCAAGCTGTCAATCTGCTTACCCAGAGGTTGTAGTCTTGTGTGTCCGTGAGAGATGGTAAGACAATATTTAAGCTTTCGCAACTCAATAAATTATAATAGTAAACTCATAAATTTTAATTCTGACCCATGTAGTAGTGCACTAGTAAATAGGCGAGAAACAATTTCGCTGCAAAACCTTCAATTGGCATTAGTGATATCCTGGATGATCCACTAAGTCAAAAGCGCAGTGTTACACAAGCATTTGCGCAAAAGCTACATTAGTTCAAAGCCTGAGAGACCAAACAAAATTTTGATTAGTATTTTTTCCTATTAATCACTCTGCAATCCTTCAGATTAACCTTGTAGCCTCTTTGAGGGGGTGACGATCTTCAAGTTAAGAACATCATGAAAAGTGCAAATAACCAGTCTTTCCAACCTCTACCCAGCATTCCAATAATCCCTCATGTTTGCCATTTTCATAGTAAAAAGGGTTTCCCTGAGAGCGGAAATTAGCTTCCTTTCCAAGCTTTAAAAATGTCCAAATGACATGGTTTCTCATACCCCCTCTATCTTGTAAAATAAATGTCATAAATTTAAAAGTCCAAACAACTACAATCCAAACAACTACAGTTTGCCAAGGCAATTGTGCCAAATTAGCGCACAAAGCCAAAATAATATTTTGGCAATTTGCCTTTATTACAGGACTCACAGTACACAGTCACGGGAAACTGATAGATAACCAGAAGTCATTGGCTAGATCTGGCTGTGGTTACATGATTTATGTTTCAAACCACTAACTGACCAGTATGACTCAGGCTACAGTTTTTACAAAAAACCTGTATGGCAGACAAACAAGGTCACAAGTGCTTAAAATAATAGGAAAACAGCTCAGCATATGAGCACTTTGTGTGCATGCTGCTCTATGAGTATACTTCCCAGATCTGTCACTACAAGACTGAGTAATAACAAAATCCTCCCTGTGCACATAGCACTGTTAATCACCAGGCATCCTTCGCCTACTGCTTTTTCAAGGCCTGTTTGACTTAAAGTAAACACATGCAGGAAATGTATTCAGTGGCTCTAAACATTTATATGGGGACCTTGTGGTTCAAACAGTTTCATGGCCGGCAAATCTATCAAGAAGGTGCTTAGTGAGCCATTTGTTAAACACATGATAATATAACATGGCATTACATGGCATGCTAGTATGCTTCGAGGCTGTATGGTTGTTTGTTAAGCCTTTCATTTTTGTGCTCACTATCTGTATCGTTGACAGACAATGTAAGATGATTGTTGGATCCTGATCTGATGAAACTGAATGTCTGTTCATTGTAATATGGGGCTAATGTTTTGTAAGCTCTACTGTGTGACCTATTTCTGTGCTGAATACATTTTCTGATACAGGTATGAAGGGAACAATTGGAAAACTGGCCATGAAAAAGAAACAATCTAAAATATGAATATCCAAAAGCTTTCAATGAGTTCATCCACGCATTAAGGAAAACGATTTTCCGAGTCGATAAGTATGCTCTCGTCTCTTCCTTCAAATTTCTCCAATTTCATCTAAAAGAATATCCTTTGTTAATCTGGTCTCAATGAGCACTGTTGTTAAGTGCTGCTGCTCACTCTGCACTCCCAAGCAGTCATAATCCATTGTGTTGTTTGCCCCTAACTCAGTATACATTTCCACTGCAAATTCCAATGTGAACACTCAATAACACGCACAGATGTGGTCATTTGAGATGTCTTACTTTTTAATTCTGAAGAATGAATTATGCTGAACTCTGCAGAACCCCCATACATATTTGTAGCAGCTTTCAGTTATTATAGCCAAAGATGATAATACATTTAAAAAAGAATGGTGGCAAGAGTTATAAGGATATATATAGACCACTGTATACATGCAACATATTGGCATTAAACAGGATTTCTGCAAGAGCTGCTGTTGTGCTTCGCCCGATCATTATAAGTTGCGAAAACATTAACCTCAGGGTTGATATAAACATGTACGCCAGGACTTCATTTCCTCCTCACTATCTTGCTGCACTCATCAGTTTTAAATAGAACATGTTACTCCAGAGTCAAGATCAGTAAAAATGAAACGGTACATGATAATGATGTACCCTGACCTCTTTTAGACAGCCAGTATAATCCATGAAGTTGTGTCTTGTCTCTCATCGTGTTCCACTGCCATGGCTCTACCGATCAGCACGAAAATGTAAAAGCTGAGAGGTAAACTGCATTTTAAACTAACTCTACAAACCACGGAGAATCTGCTTTTCTTGTGCGTGAAACATTAATGCTTTTTATATTTTTGTTGGTAAAAAATAAATAAAATATTCTATGTATGAAATATTGTTTATTTCACCACATCTAGAAAAAGAATGTCTGAAAGCTTTCAACCTTTGACATTATTGCTTGGGAAGTAATAGGCTAGACGCTAAACTCCCCCATGCCCAGTGAAAGAAAACAACTAAATAAATCTCACATCTCAGTGACTGCTCCCTTAACAGATGCCATACAGGAAGTCAGTCCTATCAGCACTACCAGGCACACAGAAAGCACAGTTAAGTTTTCCTATCCTGCCTACCTATGTCCTTTGTGAAGCTTTGCTGTTAGAGGAGAAAACACTGTCCTGTACTCTCAGTGGCACACAAGGTCATGCAACTACTCAGTTCTCAATCTCAACAGAATAACTCAGAAACAAAAACAATTTTAAAAAATGACATAACAGCACATATTAAATGGGTTAAACAAACCACAAAATGCATCCGCATCCCTCTGTTTGGATCAGCTGCACAGTTGTGATGTTGTCAAGGTTTGCAGTAAATGCAAAAACATCCCCATGGCCCAATGACCCCAAAACCATTTCCTCAAAATGGATTGCTTTGCAAACAAGCGTAACGCTTCTGTATCATGTCATCTACCTTAAGGGCCCCCTTAATCAGGAACTTAGAGTTTTAGAACATCTCCTGACTGTTTTTGACATGCATTTGGCTGCCATCTAAGTTTGGAAAAAGCTTGGACTTTTTGTTCATGGATAGTGACAGCAGCGTTATCAATGTAGAAACATTTATTGATCCATTATCGCCAAGGAAAGCTCCCAGCTGATTTTTCACATAGCATAAAAAAAAATCTCAGTCTCAATGTTGTGGTCCTTGAGAATGGCCATAACTTTAGGCGTTTCACCCCCATTACAACATACTGGTACCCTCATCATTGTTATCAATTTTGTCATTGCTGCCACAAGCTTGATTGTAATAGTCCTAATTATTTATGTTAAAAAACAAACAACACAACAATATCGGAAGTCTAAGGAGCCTGGAAAGAAAAGCGTCTGGACTTCTTTAGGTTTTCTTAAAGAGGGGTTTCTGGATGCTGAGGATGCCAATGTTCACATTTTGGACAGAGAAGACAGATGGTTTGAAAGAGGAGTGAAAGAAGCCACTGTGAACGGCCATCTTTGAATGTAGGCGCTGGCTTACCACACCAACTGTCTGCCATCTATAATCCAGTTGTGAGATCCCTTCCCAGACGCCTTAATGCCCACTCACATCCTGGATCATTTGACCTCAGTAAATCACATGATAGGGTGGGGCTAGGTTTCACATTGGGTTCGCAGGAAACATTGGCTGATTGTGGCCCACACCCGTTTTCACACCTTGGATCGTGTGATTAGGTAGAAGATCAATAGCCGCTCCATGACCCTCTTGGGGACACTCCCATAGGGCTTAAAATCTGGGACAATCCACCAGTTGCTCTTAGAACTGATGAAGCTTCTCGGATGAGAGGTGAATCGTCTTCAAAGAAACTTAAAGAAGTCCAGATGCTTTTCTTTCCAAGCTCCGTAGATTATGGATGACTGAGAACCTTGACAGACAACATTAACAGCAACTCACCGCTATGCGTGTGGGGATCTTCTGCTCGCCATCTGACCCCTTTTGCTCTCCGTTAGCCCTGCTGTAGTCTGGGGGTTGCTGGTTCGATCCCCGGCTACCTTTTGCTTTACGGTTCCCAGGACCTTGGTGGACTATGCTGAGCAGCTGAAGCGTACTCTCGTGCTCCCGGTCTGTGCTCTCGGCCTGACCTCGCTGATAGCGGTCCGCGCAGGTAGAATGGTGCCTCCTGCACGTCTCTAACCGGGCGCGTAAACGCTCAACTATGGCGTTGTGCAGTTGTGGCACTGTGGATCCCCTTGAGTTGGCCACCACCGGCCCGTTGCTGACCCCACCGGGCATAGCTCCTAAACCAACACCCAACATGGGTACGTATGTCCCTGCAGCAGACTGAGCGGGGGTCGCTTCTCCCATGCCCGCAGGTCCCTGATAAGTTTATAGACTGAGGTCCACTGTGCTTACAGTGGACCACAGAACGGGCATGGAAGAAAACAAGAAAACGTACTGAAGACTTGCAATGATCCCATGTGAAAAAGAAAAATACTTGGCTGTAGTCTCTGGAGAGGAGTCACTATGGCCTATGATATGTGTTGAAATGTGAGCCAATTATCTTGTCAAACTGGGACTATAATGTTATATGATATAAAAGATTAAAGATTAAGATACGCTCCATATAAAATCATGCTATGCTCCACGTGGACTAAAAACATGCATTAAAAGTCTCAAAGTTACAGAATTGTAGTAGTTTTTCCTCGGGGGATAGGCTCTGTCAGCTTATAATTAAACGTGAAATGATTTACAAACATGAAAGGCTCCGCAGCTGGAATGAATCCGCTCTTGCTTAACGATTGGAGCTCTGCTCACAGATAAATAGGTTATATTCAATATGAATCCCTTAGATAATTCAAACCCACGGCACGCACAACTTCGGTTTCACTGGTGCTACATTCCGAGTAGCTACATTTTCAGCCTACTTTATCTAAATATTGTATCACTCTCGTTAACGCCAAGTCCAAGAGTACACTATCGACTATAAATTGAGTGAGACCGACCGGCTGCAAAAATAGAAGAACCAACAAACACACGAAATCCACTAAACTTCAAGACTCACGGCATTTTTTTGTTTGTTTCGAAATGAGTCCTTTTCTTTGTTGCTTTCCTTTCAATCCGGATAGGAATCTGGTTGCAAACAAGTAAAAAAAAAAAACCCAAAAAACCCAGACCCCCTAAACGCAGGCAGTCGTCGCAGAAGCCGACTGAAATCCGTCTCAAATAGTCCATTGACAATCGTTTGTCCGTGTGGTACACGAAGGCAATAGCGGAGCTACTTACACAGACCCTTATTGTACGAACATTCTGCTTTTGACATGAACTCGTATGGTTAAAAAAAGGGGGTCCAGTGGCACACTCTAGTGGAGAAAAGCCTGAACTTGTCTTGCAAGGCGTGAACGGTGACACGAAGGAAGGAATCTTATTAATGTATTTTAAATTTGAACACTGTTGTCTAACCGCTAATCATCTAACACATGTTACCGAACATTTATTCATCCTGTATTTCCACAGACAAATGAAACACATATTTAGATAATTAACTAAAACATGAAAAGAATAGTTAAATCCAGAACTATTCTTTGATCTTTTTTGAGTTAACACGCAGAGTAACTAACCAAGCGAGCCTACAACACCGCTCAAATGAGCTGATTGGCTGCTGACATGTTCCTATACTGTTGTCTTATGTGTCCCGCTATGCCACAAATCTTTGGTAACTTTCAGCTTTCTGTAAATCTTAAAAGTTGGGTAAATGTACTCAGTAGCTTTCAAATATAACAATCACAAAAGTGCATTTGACTATATTTGTTTTGATTTTAACCTTCTCAAAGCAATTTATTGCACTTCATTCATTAACCGGCTGTTGTTTGAAGTTAATCGTATCTGGTTTAGGGGAACGAGATATAGGAGATTAAGATGCAGCCACAGAATCACGCAGAAACTCGCTCACACAGGATGCATGTTTCTGTAAAGCAGAAGGAAGCTGCTTGAGCACCCAGAGGAAAACCACACAAATATGGGGAGATCGTGCGAAGTCCACACAGAGTTCAAGAAGAAATCAATTCCGTTCAACACTGAAGCCTTTTCCAAGTATAATTAGTATAATAAATTAACTATTTGTCTTTGGGGCTGCTTTGATAGCGGGAGACTGTAAGACTAGCGGCCACCAACTTGTTAACCCATACGCATATGATTAAAACCTTAAACACTCTCACGAATCTGCCAACCCACACTCTCCCCTCCCTTTTAGGCCCTTCTTTATGATGGATATTTCATTACCTATATGTATAGATGCCTCCCTCAGTCATTCAGTTAACCAATCTTCATCAGGCTCTTGGCTGACTAAGAAATGTTTTGCTTATTAATCATTTTTATTCTCTTTATGGGAAATGGCATGGCCACCCAGTGGTCATTACTGGAAAATGATCCTGAAGCATAATAACAGTCATTATTTAATAAGTAGCAGGCTTATTAAATGACGAGGAATCCTGTAGAAACCCTTTAAAAAATTATCTGTATTTCAATAATCTGCATTTTCCAATTTGGTTCTAAATGCATCTTTGGGCATAACCCAAAGGAGCTTGTCATCTAATGTTTTATTAGTACTTGACTGCAGCTGCTTTCTTTAACAACAGAGGGCAGCATACATTTAACGTCTGTATATTCTGTTTTGGAAGATGTTCTAAGGTATTTTATTTTGGTATTACTAGCAATTCAAGATGCTAGTGAGTTCTGCTGTGATCTATGGTTTGGAGATGGTGGCACACACAAAAGGAGGTAAAGCTGGAGGTGTGAGAGTTCAAGATGCTAATTTCATTGGGAGCTGGGCTGGACTTTTACAGTGAAAGGATAGTGGACATACTGGACAAAGGACATTGAAGATGGAGCTGCCGGGGAGGAGGAAACAAGAAAGAGGACAGAGGTGGTTCAGGGAAGCGGTGAAAGTGGACATGCAGGCGGTTGGTGTGATAGCAGAGATAAGGTGAGACGGAGACAGATGATCTGCTGTGGTGACCTCCTAAAGGGAGCAGCCACAGTTTACTGTGTGTGGACAGTAAGATCTCCACCACTGTGTTCAGTTTACAACTAAAGGAGAAAGTGTGGTTGAAAGATGAGGTTTATATTTAAAGAACTTTAACACCAAACTTTCACTTCTTGCTTTATTCTACGTCCACATTGTAAGCCTACCATTATACAGGAATAACAAAGTATTGTATTTTTGTGTATTCCAATTTAACTGTACCACAATACCACTGTCATTGTTTTTTCTCATATTGCTTCAAAAATCAAGACAGTTTGTATACATCAGTGTTAGTAGAGAGAAGATTCCTTGTTTGATGGTTGTTGTTTTTTCTTTCTTTCTTTCTTTTTTTTACTATTATCAACTAAAAAAAAAAACCACACACACACATACAATAAATTAATAAATTAACACAAGCAATCTGCTTTACAGTAGTAGCAATAATAGTGGTTAAAAAAATCTTTACAAGTACAGTACGTCAACTCAGTGACAGCCTGACAGTAGATCTGAACAGTTTTTTCAACCCAGTCAGGCTGTCATTTAACATACTACAGCTTACAATCTACCACAACACATACACAACTCTTCTGCTTACACATGATCTCTCTAGATAATAAATTACACATCCATTTCATTAAAAAAAACAAAACCAAACAGACAGGGAGACAGGCTTTTCTTCACTCTTTCCTTTCCTCTCTTGCTCTTTGTGAATCACAATTCACCTGGGATTTGCCAGTCCAACTTACACTGGCAGCCTTTGCCTTTTTATGATTAGATCATACAAAAATGAAATTTGGTAATTTAAAAAAAAAGAATAATACACTAAACAAACTTAGTTTACTTTAGCCTGTTCCTGTCATAATGCATAACACTTGCTTACATGTATCAGTAAAAAATAATGATTAAAAAGAATATAAAAAAGCTGTAAAAATGGTAGAAAAACATTAAGAAGTAAATCTTAATGAAATAATCCATACCATCTAGCACTCCATGGCCACGCTATTCTTATTAAGGTCAAAAATGGATTCTGTGGTTCCAGCCCACAATGAAATACTGGACTTGAGTTGAACTAGAAACTGATCATTCAGTTGTCCTTACTATAATATGATTCTTCCTGTTTATTCTAAGAATATTGTGAAAATTTCTTCAAGGCAAAATGTACGGTCTACACCGAAATGAAAATATAAGGCAAATTGATCAACAAAAGAAATTTAGTAAACAATATTTCTCAACTGTTTTATAGTGACTACGATCACTGGCAAATATCCACTGTGGTAGATTTCCTTCGCATTCAAAGCACTATGTTACATTATTGTAGTGCTCTTTATGTCTCATACAAGTGCGTCAAATTTCTAACAGTCAAAAAGATGCACTGCAATATGTATATCTATTAATAATTTACATACAGGAACAAAAGTACTCCTCAGGGACAAAGCTGTAGTGTGTGGCATTTCAAAGCCCAAAGACAGAAATCAGTGAATGGAGAGTTCTGGAAAACAGAAATATGCTACTCTTTATCTACTAGACTTTTGGTAATGGTCTCTAGAGAGACAGAGTACTTGCAAACTACACCTCTTGTCTTATTTCTATTTTTTAAATCAGCACAACACAATAATTTTGGGGTTTTTTTCAGTGCACGTTTACATTGAAAAGCCATTTGAATCTTAACTCAAGTGAAATGACCACTGAAATCAAACGTAACGAGGTTTTGTCATCTTGCCTTTCCCATCTTCTTCATGTCGTAGATTTGGATGTAACCAACTTTGTTCCTGCATTGAAATAATTGGCCTGCCATCATGCCTGACAGCTTTTAAATATAGTTTGGGCTCATATTTAATAGAAACCCAGGCAACAGTCATGTACGGTTATCATTAGGGGTTCTGACAGAAGCCTTTGCATATTTGTATGGCTATATTTTTTTCCTCTCCTCTTACCAGACATGCACTGCTAAGCTGAAATGATTGCCCGCAGTGAAAATAATCTCTTCACTGCTTCTGCAAGACTCAGCACAAATGATAGATTAAAGTGAAAAGAGAAAGTCAGCCTGCATGCCAAAATTGAAGTGCATCTTGGCATTCCTGAGACCAGCAAGCATTACAGTATATTAATATGGTTTTTGACCAGTTAGCCTCTGTTGCTCTTAAATGGCAAAGACAAAATAAACTGCCAACTAGATGCAAACAAAATTAACTGCTGCAGAGGGTTGAATGGAACAGTGATCAAACAGTGCACTTATAAATAACAGTTTGACAGTAAGGATGATATTATTAATTATCTAGTCACTGTTCTAACAGTCTGTGTGAGGAGCTTTGGCAGGGAACTTCACCTGTATGGCCTGATATTCTGCATGCTTGCAGTACACTCTAGTAATAATCATCACAAAGAACAGGCATAAATTAGTTATGGCTTTAGGCCCAAATATTTTAGTTTTAAGCAAGCTCATCCAGTATCCATGGTAATGGTGGCAGAAACTTGACACTGGAGATGGCTGACCTAAAGTGCCCCTATTATGCTTTAAGTTTTTCCTCAACTCTCTAATCTGTTACACAACCTTTTGTTCATGTAAGAGGTCTGGAAACTTTCAAAGGCCAAACTTTCACGTGCGGCCAAATGAAAGCAAAATCTCTGCTGCTGTAATGTCTCAAATACATTCTTTACACTCCAGGCTTTTTTTCTGTATTGCTACTTAGTTATGTCACTGTGACACAATGTCATGAAGTTCATGCAGTTGGTTGGTTTGACATGTTCACTAACAAAGAATGAGGAGCAGCCTTAATTCAATTTAGATGTAGTCAGTTGCTTTATTTCCAATTAAAGTCACTTCTACGAACTCTATAAATTCCTTTGCTGTGAGGAACACACACCCAATGCTCTGCTGTCGAGTCTTCGGGCACTCCCTGGATCTGAGGAAGTGACCAAGTAAAGCACTTTTAGTTTTTCATAGCAATGTCCCCACAACAATAGGAATATCCTTAAATCTTTAGTGTTAGCATTATGCTAATGTGGCTAACTTCACCATCTGTTAGCTTCCCTCCTATAAAAGGAGCAGCTGCAGCAGAATTATGTGAATGTGTGGTGTCTTTCTAACATGTCTAAAGCTTTATGCTTGCAATCTGCAGGCCTTTGAATAAAATGCTACAACTGGGTTAAAGGCTAGCCAAAAACACCCAAAACAAAAAAAACCACGGTATTCAGAGCTGGACAGTGGGGAGTGTTACAGTATGTTTTGGGTGTGTATATATGTGAGTGGCAGTTT